ATATATATATATATATATATATATATATATATATATATATATATTATATATATTTTTCTCTGCATTTATAAATGCAAAAGTTAAGCTAAAAAAGATTTTAGATTTGCATAGCAATTGACTGATATTAGTCAAGTTGGTATTTGTCACAAAAGTGCTAAGAAAAAGGGGCTGAGGTCAGATTCTGTCTGAGATAAAGATTTGGGTATCCAATACATGAACAGCAGAAAAGGAAGGATATGAAAGCGGACGATAAAACTCAATTTTTTATTTGATGATGACAACAACCTTTGACCTCTCATTTGTGAATGGGTTAGATTACCGGGAGCAAAGATGATCCGATTGAGAATATGAATGAATTGTTGATGTGTTAAGCAATCTGAATCAATCTAATGCTTCTGAACTACTGCATTCAATCAATCACCTCCCTAACCCATTGGAATTACACTCTAAAATGAATGCATAATATGTACAATTAAAGTATTTGAATACTGAAAGTCTTCAAAATGAGTTAAAACTTTCAGGTAAAATTACATGAAACTTTTAATTATTATGGGAAGATGGAAGAAAAGGAATCCGTCAATCTTCGACCTTCAAATTTCTATAAATCAATCGTTTGATAGATGTTTCCGTAAGACAGCTCTGTTTGACCGCAATCCATTGTGAATCAAATTTTCTTCAACAAAATCAATTCAAATTTTGCAAATAATCTCAGTAAAGAACCAAAAAAGTGAAGGTGAAGTCTCATCCTAGCACATTTACAAAGTTCCAAATAATGATTAATGCTTAATGAATTCTGATAAGCAGAACTAAATTAAGGTTCAAGAAACTCTCTGAAATCCCATTTCTACTAGAACCTTAAATTAAATGCCTTAAAATATGTCATGTTATCGTTTGCAGTAAAAAATCACAAATCAAAGCTTATCATATGATCGCGAGATCCGGTATAGCTATCAGGTTAGTTTGATAGTTGTTACTAGTCATCCTCACTTACCTGTTATGATAATCTTACATTTCTGATTTGACTACAGGAAAGAAAACTTTGTGATGGAACGGATATATTTTTCTCAGTTCTGGAAATAACAGATCATGGAACTCTCATTTATAAGTATATATCATTTGAAATTTTGCATATTCAGATCCATTAAATTGATTTCAGATTTTTAGAGTAAACGTAACTATTACGTTTGATTTTTCTATGTATTCATCAAAGAAATGTTCCCTCATCTTGAACCTTTGATCATTACATACATCCTAAATAATGCGTGAACAAAAATATCACTGAGAAGACGTATTAAACGTAGAGAAACGTATCAGACGTAGATATACGTATCATCAGAAAAGATCGTTTCTGAATCGTTTTTTTTTTTTGAAATATTCCAAATGAAATTCATCTTTTAGTGTGTTGTGCATCAAATGACAAGTACATTATGCATTTTTAAGTTAATTTTGCCTTGTAACAGAAAGGTTGAAAAAGCTCAACAGACTTTTTCTTGTCTCTTTTTGAAGTCATCTTCAGTATTCAATTCAATTCAATTCATTTTATTGCCATATGGGAAAGAAATTACTGTTTTGAATGGGTTCATTGGCGCATTGCCACTGAACAATATCATGTCAAGCTGTGAAAATTTACATTTTGATGGTTTTGTTACGAGCAAAAAAAGAAAATATGAAAATTACTTTGGGATGGGAAAGAGAAAAATCATACGGATAGGAACGAGACAAGAGGTGTCTCGTTGAAAGATGAGGCCATTGAATGTATTCTGAAGAAAATTTACTACAACGATCATCTCAAAACTTTACTCCTTATGTAAATAGTAACTTTTATATGGATCTTGTCACGTGTCATTTAACTGTATTTTAGCAGTATAGAATAGGTAAAAGGACATCTTTCTATATTGTGATAATGTAATTTCAACAGTGTAAGGTGGAAAGAATAGAAAGATTATGCTATCGCAATTGTCCAATTTAATATTGAAGAAATATGCGATTTAAAAAAAAAAAATTACGAAATAATCAAAAAAAATTTCTTAAGAAATGCAAATTAACTCACTGTCCGAGTCGTAGTTCTTGCAGCTGAAGATGGACATTATTGTCATCATTGATATCAATTTTTCCTTGTACAATAAACAGAAATAGCAAAGCAGCTGTGAATACATCAATGATCATATTCATTTGATATTCACATCAAAATTGATCTGCTTCAAGATGTCCCCAAACAATCGTTTTACGTGAAGAATTTATATGTCTGGACAAGTTTGATTCCTAATAGATGCACTGACCTACAGAATACATTCATCATTGTTCCTGCACAATATCAGCATTTCTTTTTTTTCCTTTTTTTTTTTTTTTGTAAATATCTTCGTTCAATGGAATTTTGAAATTACAACTGATCGAAAACGCAACAAAAAGAGGCGTCAAGCTGTGAAAAATAGTAGTAGTGATAGTAGTAGAAATAGTGTAATGGTATAGAGATGATAGTACTGTCAGTAGTAATAGTAGTGATAGTAGTTAGTAATCTTGCCTTCTTCCCAATATTGTGTCAACGACGACAAAGTGACACACAAGCTTATGGTCGACAAGAACAGCGATAATCTATAATGGATTGTATTTCTCTGTGAAAACCAAAAAAAAAAAGGCAAATTTTGGAGGATTAATACAACAAGAAATCTGATTGGCATTTATCGTATTGCCATAATGGATAGGAATTTAATTTTTGCATATTTGACAGTTTGAACAAATGTATGATTAAGAGAGAGAAAAAAAGAAAAGCATATCAAAAGCATCTCTGTGACAATTAATAGTACTCTTTGTAATGTTTTCATGATGCTCTTATAAAAAACCATAATTTTCTTTTTTTTTGCTTATGACCTTTTTGGGATAGTTTTTACTGCCTTACTTACAATTCAATAACATTTGAAATCCAGTTAATGAATAAGCTTAACTATAAGGTTATCAAAATAATATGACAGAAATGACTTCGTTCAAATGACAACAATTTTCTTCTTCCTGTTTTCCTGTTCAATAGCTAATGAACAATTTTTACCATCTGATATTCCAAGCTTAGTCTAGAAAGTTGGTCCTAAATATAAGAGCATCCTTGGCTTTTCAAGAATTCATTCGTTTTTATGCTTAATTGCCAGAAAAAATGTGAATTTAACTTTAATGATATTTTCATTCAAACTAATAGCAAAAACTTATTTGATCATAAAATTTGAATTTCTTCCTATCATTTTTCTCACCAAACACACATGTTGTCCTACCTCATTGCTAATTAAAATCAAAACTACAAAAAAAAAAAAAAAAGCTGGGAAGCAACTAAATTTGCATATTCATTGGACAAGTATTGCTTTCAATAAATCGATGAGTAATTTTCCGAACAAATCATTTAACCAAAGCTACTAGCCACCAAAACTGGCAAAGAAAGAGAAATGCAACTGTTATTGGCACAGTAATACCATAACACCCTAGTACTAATGGGCGCATAATTCCTTACCCGCCGTAGGAGTAGAATCATGAAAGAGGGAAGGCGACAAGCAGCTATTTCTTGTATAACAGTGTGGGAAAGCATGTGTATACATGTGATATGGTATATATGAAACAAAATTGGATCCGATCAAGATAGGTATGTATGTAAAAAAAAACTGGATCTGGTTAGGATAGATATGTATGGAACAGAACTGGATCTGATCAGGATAGCATCACTAAGTCAAGCAATGATTGGGTAAAAAAATCCATCACTTACCTGTGGAAATGATATTTTGGCCAAATAAGGATAGTTGAGTAGTCATTTATCAAGACATGATAAGAGACAGAGAATGATAATAGTGATTTTGTTAAGACTGATCGATTCTTATAACTTACCTTCTTTACTTTTCTTAGTTGGACATTTATGAGTAGATGAGAAGTAAAACAACTGGGAATAATGGTAACGCAGTAGTGGTTATCACTTCAGGCAAGCAATGATCATTGCTCCGCTCCGCCTATGCATCATATCAAGGGATAGGCACGCCTTCAGAACCGATAGGTAGCTTCGAATATGAAGTTATTCACTTTTATCTTATAACAACCGGTACTAAGTATTGAGGATGCTTGAGGACAGTCCGTTAGTATTGTTCCCATAAACTTTCTCAATTTGGCAACTTGAAAGATCATACTTGAAATGTCAACTTGATTTTTGCTGCACATGACGAGTGTTTAATGCTTATTTATATTATGTTAATTTCAAGTCAAAAATTAATCCATATTTGATGGTTTCAGGTCAATCCTCTCCTTTCGATCTTTCCTTATCCTCATCAGACTGTTCCCTCTGTTATGGCCGCTATCCTTACAATTTACTCCTTTTCTAAAGTAGTAAATATTAATTGGTTGAAGTTGATTGAAATGCCTGAACTTTAGACGAGAAAAGTAGAGCAAATAAAATAAGCCGATCTTCAATGTTTAGGATAGCCTTGTCGTATTGCATGTGACAATAATAATCATTGCTTCAAACATGCATATCATCGATCTCAGGTGAAGTTTCTGAAAATACTATCCTGATTATATGCAAAGTTCAGAGTTCAATCAATTCGATTTTTATAATTCAGAGTTCTGAAGTATGCATTATTCCTTGCTACAGAAAACACTCAATGACATGCATAACATGAACAAGGGAAAAATGAAATATTAATAGCTTCGAGTTGGAATTACTGAAACCAATATGAGATACAATATTTGTATTTCATCAATTGGTAAGCAAATAAAAATTCAAGTGAAATCCTGAATTCATCATCAGTTTCCTACAAGACTGACACAAATAATCCAAGTGAATGCAATCAAAATTTGACCGCAATTCAAATTATTTCACTTGAAAAATTTTATTCACTCCGAATCAATTCTATCATCTGTCCATTCTTATCCATAATATTTGTTGCACGTAAACGATACAATCCAAATGACAAAACAGCAACAGATTTGAATAAGGAACACTAATAGATGTAAAATAGATTGCATGAAAAGTAGAAGCTTATTAGTTTCAAGAGGATGACAAATTATTGACGAATGTTTGGAAATTGTTAAAAATAGAATTTATGACTTATTACAGCCAAAATTCATATAAGAAAAGTCATTGGTCTTCGGGTACGGAAGAGAATTCGTTTGCATTGCAATATTCAACAGCATTTTGTCGAAATTGTTCTAATGCGAGCTGTAATGGATCCAAAAAATCGCCATTGAAGATTTGATCCTCCCTTATAATATTTGCTACAAGATTCATGATCCTAAATATTTTCGAGCATAAGGAGGGAGGAATTAATTTGATCGGTTGATGTTATCGAGAATTTATCTTCCTCCAAACTTACTGAACAAGACAAAATATAAAAAGCCATACCTTGCTAAAACCAACATTGCACGTATCATGTGATTAGGGCCCAAGTCTTCAGGTTCTGTTGTTACTAAGTCGAGAAGTATTTCATAATCCTGTGCCCAACTGCAACATATTAACACAAGCTTGTGAAACTTTTTACTATGCCATGAGGTTATGAGGCTACTTTTTAGTTAAGCTATATGTATCGACTATTGTTGGCTGATGTCAGAAAGTTAATTTTATTAGATAGAAAATGATATTAAATGTTTTATCAAATTTCTTTGGACAACTGTTCTATTTGACTTACTTAAACATTCACAATCAGAAATTAATAGCCTAAAGTGATTGTTGATCTTTGCCTAATTAATTATTTAGAGATACCCGTTTTCAGGTTGAAATAAATCTGCCGTTTCACTGAAGTGTTGATATAAGGGTTGCTCGTGCAGAGGATTTATTGGCCTCGAAACACATGGAAAATGATCGAACTGCGGCTGCGATACCTGAGGGGATACAGATGTTTGGATAATAGGATTACCTTGGCTAATAGCATTACCATTCGAAAGGTAAACATTAAGAGCTGGTTCTTGCATTCTTTGAGAAATAGGGTGTACTAGTGGTGGCAAAGGGATTTGTGAGGTGTACAGTGAGGATCGGGATGAAAAACTTCCGTTGATGGCATCACAACTTTTCTAGCAGTGATGGGTGAATAAGTAACAGTCGATCTTTGGTGTAAATCATCAAAAAGTTGGCAGATTCCCTGTGGATAAGCTATATTCGATAAAGTCGGAACTGTATTGCTCATCGAGGCTAGTGACTCTCGTTGAGAATCAGGTAAAGAATGAAGCAATGATGAATTCGATATAGAAGGATTGCTAGAATCGGTTGCAAGATGACCGGTAGAACTTGCTTCAGTCAAATCATCCGACATGTTTCTTGGTTGAGCTGAATGACTGTATTCGCGAGCTGAATGACTATGTCCGCGATATGCAATAGTGCGCGACATAACTTTGCCTGATGTGTAATTTTTCTCGGCATTCAAAAACCCTAAAGTAAATTAATTTCTAAAAAAAAAGAACACTGCATAATAAATTGTTTACGAATTTTACATTCATACATAACAAGAATCCACGATTCTAATCCATACTCATTGATGATAGATAGCAGTTGTATTGCTAAATTGAATTGTCTCAGTTTTTTAGATAGATAACAGAATTTGATTCAGTAGTGAAAATGATGAATAAAACAACTGTAATCAATATCTGAATAACATTGATATCACTTAATGACAGTTTCCAAAAATTAGTCATGATGAATTCCAATGGAAACGAATTGTAATTTAAAGCAGTGAAAAGATATTAAATTAAGGTTGAAAGGTTTGAAATCGAATGTGGTGCTCTTCTCATACATTCGTCTTAGGCAAAATTAAATGAGAAACAAGCCAAGCAGGGAAAGAATTACTCTTCTCATAATGCCATTAAATTTTCAGCTGAAGTACTTTACCAGATCATTATCCCAGTATCATATTCTCACGGGATAATTAAGGAAACACAAGTCTAAACTCCCTCTTGATATCTCACTAAGATGCCTAACTGAAGAAAACGAATGCAACAGATAATTTACCGAAACGCCATTCAGGACCTGTTTTCGAATCCCAAATGATCGGCAGTTCTTTTTTGCGTACATCATCAAAAATTGAAATCTTATGCAACAACTATCTGAAAACTAACAATCAATCGGTGAACAATAAACCAATCAGTGTTCTGGCATGTTTTGATCAATGAAAACGATCCACTTGCAGTAATCCCGCTACAAGCTCTCAGTGAAGATGGTCAGTGAAGATTCTAGAAATTGGCTGAATCGAGCAAAAAATTTGCAACTTCTTTTTATATTCGGCAAATATCTTTGTCCTTTTCAGAATTTTTTTTAATAGGGTCGGAACAACGACTAGGAAAGGTTTAAACTTGAGCATTACTGACGAAGACCTTTTAAAAACGATGTCCTTAGGTGGACATGTCTTGCATTCTTGAAGCTAAAGCTTAAATGATGATTTGTGTTAAGTGTTTTGCTTCAAATACTGTATATATTTTAACGAACAATTATTTACTTTTTATATCAGTGTAAAAAGTAAAACAGCACGAATACAAAGAGCTAACCCGATTCCCAGAACTAAAAGATCAAATGTTTAAATAACCCAGCAGTGTTTTACTTCATTCAGTTCTTTCCATTAATTTACATGAATTTACGATTTACAGCCTTTCATCAACGATCACTGGAAGATGTGGAATTCTGATCGTCGTCATCAGCACTTATCGATCCTTTGTCTTCGATGCTAGCTGCCGCATCTTCAGGCAAATCAGAAGGTGCGTCTGGTGTTCTGCAGAGATTTAGAAATCAGTTCAAATTTCATGAGAAATTTTCTAGGAAATCCCGCTAAATGCTAAATACACTCCAAAAGTTGTAATTTTTCGAACCGTATCAATCTTCATAGTATTTAAAGCATTTAACTTCTACTATTTATGTGACGTTCACCTATTTATTGGTGTCCAATGTCTGGATGTATACAAAGAGATATTGAGTAAATATAAGGACAAGTGAGACGGTCCTTGACACTTCAAATGCCACTTGCAAAAAAAAAAAAAGAAAATAAAACAACTGACATCAGCAAAGGAAACTTGCTTAAACATTAACAGATGGAGACAAGCTTTGATATTACTCAGCTGCTTCTGTCATTTTCGTAGTGGCTACCCAACATAAGACTTTGTCTATGGATGATAATGAGCGTAAAATAACTGCGATATTATATGAGATGCATACATGGGAAGATTTTCTTATGCTAGAAAAACACTAAAAAATACACATACTGCAGAAGTGCTGTATCGATTCCCTGACTCGCCATCTTCTGTTTTACCGCACATTCGGGTACTCCCTGAATTGTGGAGGGATAATGAACAGAAAAATATGACTAAAGTTACCAAGTAACTTTTAGAAGTAGAAAGAAGCAACAGTAAATCGGAAACCGTATACTACAACTGAGTTTTAATTGATAATCCAAATGTCCTTAATATCGTTAATACATTACAAATTACGAAAGGGAAGTACTGCGATACGATCATAATAAAGTAGGAAAGGTGTCTTAATTCCTTCCAAACAGAACAACAAGAATCAAAGGTGAACCATTTTAAGCATTTTGAAATAAATAGCATAACGAGGGTCATCGCGAATGTGAAGGCAACGATGGTGTTGTGCAAAAGATGCTTTTGAAGCCACCAATTCATGTGGTCTTTCAGCACTGGCGATAGAACTGGAAGCATATAATGATTCTGAATTGGCTACTTTCGCATCCTCAATTGTTTTATCCTGAAAAGTACAATTTTTGAAAAATTCACAACATTCCCAGAAGATGAAGTTCAACAAGAATAATCGTAAATATGTTTTGGAAAATTAAAATGACTCAGGAAGAATAAAATTGTCTTGTTTGAATTTGCCAAACTAATATGAGGAAGGAAGAAAAGGAACTTCATGACGTGATAAACGGAACTATGTGAACCAAATTAACTCAGCAGCGGTTCGTCGCATTTTATCAATATTAACTCCGAAATTTGAAATAAAATGAAAAATACACCTCCAGATCATCTCTATCTCCCATTAAAATTTTGTTAAATAATGGACCATCACAATGCTTTTTCGCTGATAACTCATTGACCTTCGGAACCACGAGCTGTAAACCTGGCACGCTGTCCAACTAAAAAACAATAGTTAATCAAATTCCTTTACTTTTAAATCATAATGGCAAAGAGATAGATCGACCTCATATTTTTTTAACCTTAAGGATAAAGAAGTTCAACGTTTCGATGCTACCACTTCAACAACGATACGGACGAAGAGCAATTCAGTGTTTACTTTAAGTTCCAAAAGTTTCAACTCCACTTCCACTCGACCCAAACGTTTTTCCATATCGATAATTCTTTGCTCCACATTAGAGACAAAACCTTGTAACATTTGAACATTTTTTACAATGAAATAATTAACAAATGCAACAATCTGTTTCGTCCCGAGCGGCCTCATCTGAAATTTTATTCCTTTCTTTTCCAGGAATTTTGCATTTCACCACTTATAATCCTATCAAATGATTAAATTTTCGGCTCCTCTTTGAATATAAGCCATGCAATTTTCAAACCAGGTCAGCAATATCAGATCGATCGTAGAAAATTCACCTGCAACATATTGATATCCATGCTGACGAAGTTCATATCAGACCATTCATCTACCACCCTCGAAGAATTCCCCACTTTCCTGACTTTTGTATCTGCAAAATGTTACCTCTTGAAAAAGCTGAAGAACCTTCACTTCAAATCAAATGACAAATTATCCATTTTCAAAATAAAAAAATATTTGCCATACTTCTTATCTCCTGATCTTATTAGAACAAACTAGGTTTGTGATACCTTTACTCCTTGAAGAATATAGAATAAACATGAAAGATGAAAAGGCCATCCTGGTTTAATACATTTAAAATGCGACAGTACCACAATGAATCCCAATATATTTTACATCCCGACAAAAACAAAAATGATTCAACAGTACAAATGAGAATCTAAAAATAAACATGTAGTGTCCTTCAGACTCCCTCCTCCCAACAAAAAAAAAGGAAAAAGAAAAAAAACTGAACAAATACTGAAATTAGTGAATATCGCAATTAAAAACAAAACAATAATAAGGGTGAGAAACAATAAAATAAGTGAACAATCACGAGTAAGTGTACTGAGAAGCAATACTAGCTCACAGGAAGAACCATGTAATGTTGGGTATATAATTACATGAAAGAATAAATTCGAAAAGTGCTACAGTTCTGATACAAAGTTTACTTAGAATAAATTACAAAAACTGGAATCAGAGGAAAGAAAAAAAATGCGTGAACAATCTGCAGAGGATTTCTTTCAGATCTTATACTTTACTATTTTAGCTTTCAAGTTTTAAAATATTGTCCTAAAGAAGTCTTGTAATCTTAAAAAGTAATCTTAAAAAATTATGACAATGGCACAATTCCAATTATTAAATCAAGTATTATTTTTGTCAATTACGGCTACCTCATCAATAGGCTTGATATGCAAAACATCTTGATTATTGTCCACTGAATAAGTATCACTTTCAGTTTCTCGGATAATTTCGTTGTGTTTTTCCTCTGATGAACATTCTTTAGCATTTACAAGACAATCAATATCCAGTAATGGTAGCCGCTTTTGTTCCGGTAGGATTTCATTCAGGGTCTTAGTCACTGGTATTAGATCTTGGAAAAGAAACTGAAATTAGAATTATGTTACGTAGGCAATTATATCAGAACAAAGTTAACTGTCATTTTCCAAAAGCCACATAGTTTTCCGAATGTCAGAAAGTTAAGAGAGAAACACCAGCGAGCAACATTCGCAGTCCCAAGTCCCGAGCATTTGGCAGAAACACTGACTCAGTGGAACTACTGTAAGTCAAGACCTGGTTGAGAAGGTGTTTCCATTTATGGTATAAAATTTTCCATACTAGCGTTTTAGAATAATGGTACATATGAAATTACAATAAAAAGAGGAAAAATGTGATCTTACTCGTAAATTCGAAATGTGCGCTCTTAAACCATTCATTTGTTCCAAATAATTTTGAAAACGGTCCATTAATCTCTTTCGGTCACCAAACTGTACTAACAAAACTGCAATATCACGATCTATCTGAAAACTATACGATGATCTTTCCAGATTTGGAACCGTAAACAAGAATCGTATGACGAAATTTCCTTAAAATAACATTCTTCCGTTACGCTATCAAAATATAATTTCTAGCCTATGGTTGGTTTTGAAATATACGAAAATGTGTTTCTTAAGTAATGGCACTCTCTGCTTAAGTGTCTTTTTTATCGTAAAGAAGAACTAAAACTGCTCTATTGTTATGAAGAGAGTTTTCCCTCCTCAATTCTTCCATTCGTTATTGAACAGCTATGAAATGCTTACTGACAAAGTTTGACATTTGATTTCATCATGTTGAGGAAATCTTGACTTCCCAAAGTAAAGCAGTTAAGTTAAAGTATGCTAACATTTTTTATTGAATTTCCTAGCGATTCTTGCTCCACAGCCACAACGTTAGCACATTTCGACAAATGTTCTTGTAAACGATAGGCAAATTTCAACACTGGGCGAGCATTAACTTTGAATATTGTCTCCGGCGAGTCACGCAAACTTGGCTGATTCAACGAACTCTTCAAAATGGGGTAAAATTTCGGGATTTCCTGAAAAACAATCATTTTCTGCAAAAGTGGACTATAACTAAATGAAAGCTCGCGTGTTTATTAGACACGCATATGACAATGTTGGTGCATTGTGTTAGCGCATTTGCATTGAGTGTCCTCAAAAAAAAGAAAAAAAACCAGAATCAGGAATATGGAAAAACTGCTTACCAGGAAACGTTTTATTGTATCATCATTTTTGGAACATGACGGGCCTACAGCATTTGTTTTTTGTTTTACAACGACTATTTTGCTTTCTGTTTTCGCACCTGATCCTTTTTTAGACAAAAACGAATGTGATGAAGAAATGTTAGCATCCTTGCTGCTCTGTCCATTACCCATATTTTGGTTATATAAAAAAATAATTTCGAAATGTAATTTTCAAATACGCGGTAGCCTTGGACGATTCAAGAATATGCGATCAATTCCTGTATCAGTCCAACGCTTTTCCAACTCGGCTGTTGATTCCTGGAATAAAGGCTGAAGATATTTAAAAGATCGCTGAAGAAAAGAGGTAAAAGGGAAAAGAACTGTTGCATACGCTAATCTGAGAGATGAATTAATAAAAAAAAAAACACACTTGACGAAAACTGACGCTTGACGGAAGATTTTCAGTTTCTGGATCAGGTAGATGTTCACGGGGTATTTCAATGCTCTCCTTAAATATAGTTGAACATTTCTATCATTACTTATGTGTATCCAAAAGAAGAACAAGCTTTTAAATGTTTGATTCAATTGTAGTCCGTGTTAGCTAGTAAGTTGTATAAAGGATTATTTCATCGGATTCTTCTATTTTATTCATATATAATACACCTCATATTCAACTAATTATGCCATGAACTATTAACAAGCGTAAAATGTCGCTACGTAATAGTTAGCCCATTTCATGGCTTGCTATATGAAATTAAAACAAAAATCGATAAAGTTCAACTCTTATATTTCGTAAAACAAATCGAAATACACAAAACTCAATTGACCAATGCTCCCGTACAATTTTTATGAATGAACTGTGCTAGAAATGAATTCCTAGATAAACTAATTTCTAGATAGATCTGGATCAGCCACTCATCGGCAGTTAATTTTTGGAAAACAACCAACGCCGCACTCTCCTAACTGATCAATTCTTAGCTCATTTCAATATCTTTCTATGTATTTTATAAAACTGGTTTTTTGCCAATTCTGTAATAACGTTTACTTTTGGCAGCTGATGAGATATCCAGTCCTTATCACGTTTATTTAAATTGTAATCAAGTGAAGCGAGAAATGGCACACGCGACATTTCATGGGTTGACCACTTTTAATCTGCAATAACAAACAGCAAAAGTACCGTCTATAAACCTTACCTGATCGAGTGAAACTAACGAATTCAGCAGAGATATTGATGAACCCAGAAAATACTTATTTCTTGTTCTCACCTTGTAATTCCAACTATAGTTGCAACAGTCAGTCTTCACGAAAATTTGATAACTGATCCGCTTTTCTAATACATAGTGATCTTTTTGAGATACAATATTTGGCTCTCTGACTTCTTAATAATGCATCATCATTAATGCGTCATTTACGAACTGCCATGAATGAAATTATCAGCATGTTATGCCCAACTACAAACAATGGATCCAAGATTCATAAACTTGTAAAGGTAACAGGAAAACCAAAAAACACCACTTATTCTCGAATGCCTGATATATCTGAAAAATAGGTCACAAGAATTGTAAGAACATATATCTTATCCATTTAATTACAATCAAACCTTTCTGCAGAAATCGTCATCAGGGTTTTAAAACCCGTAAGTATGGATAAAACAATATGGTAGTGATAGAAAAGTTTATTGCAAGTAAAGGAACAAAAAAATAAACAAAGCTTACACATTCAATCATGACCAAATCTTACTGTAGAAAATAACATTTCGTAAACATTCCCTGATGAACTTTCACAACCTCCAGAAATTAAACCTGTGAGATTGAAGTTTGAACTGAGCAAAATCGAGAGAAAGCGGAAAAAAAACAACAATTTACAAATTATTATTTCATGCACAAAGAGGTAAACAATTTATAAATTATTACGTCATAAATATAATAGCTACAATATTTATTAAAATATAACAAAGCATGTTTTTACCTATGCTGAGGGATAAAAAACCTCCCTAAAAGAAAATATACTTCACAAAAAAGCGTGACGCAAACAGTAAACTTCAGTATTATGTTTTAATGAGTAGAGAAGAAACAGTAAAATGAGAAAGACACTTGGACAAACGTATCTATTATGAATAATACAACGGTTATTTTTGGCTACTTCTCTCTTCCCTTCCTTTTGCCACACATCTCTTTCCTACTTTTTTTCTTCCAATTTTATTAGCACCTTTTTACATATTCTACAGAAAAAGAATTTACACAAGAAGACCACAAACTCAAAGCAAACCAAACTTGTGAGTCTAAACTTTCATCTATAATTATTTCAACCAATCTGACCTTAATTCAAAATTTTTGAACTAGAAAATTATTTCCTTCATCTTTCTTGAATCCAAACTGTTCGTAAAACGTTATCAATTCATCTTTACATTCCAGTGATAACTTATAAACACCAATATGTCGTGCCAGCACTACCAAATGTTGAATAAGTGATATCCCGAAATGCTGTCCGCGAACGCTTTGATCCACAACAACATCTTCAATACGACCTCGGCATCCAGTGTCATGGATAAATTTCCATTCCAACACAAGTGTTGCTGATGCCACTACACGTCTTATCCTACGAATAATATTTTACACATTACCTACCTACAAAAATGAATCCCTTCCCTCACTTTTTTTTCAATTTTTTTTTCTAACTCGCGCCACAGGTTAGACAAGCCATTTTAGGTACGAATTAGTACAATATCTTAATAGTGCTACATGTTAACATAAAAAAGTAATTTTTTAAAAGTAATGTGTCTTTTAAATTTATCTCCTTCCCTTTTCCAGCTCTCACAAGAGATGCATAATCCTTAATTTACCAAACTTTACTATGACTATACTGCAGGTCTGTCTGAAACTTCAAGAAAAACATAATAAATTTTACTATTTTCCAACCTATGTCATTACGTGAGATGCCCAAGTCAGCTTTTTGGAAAGCGTGAGAGAAATATGCGAAATCTATTTTATTGAAAATGAAGCTCTTCTGCATCCCCCCATTTGTAAGAATCTTATTGTATTATAAGAAAGATCTTAAACTCACTCTTTATGCTCAATGACGACAATGTAGTACGCAGGAGGTGACATGTTGCGCATCAAATTGAATCTGCAATTTATATTCTAATTCCACTAAATAAAATACGAACTGATGTTATAAGACAACTATCACATAACATACAAACAAAAAAAAAAATGGCCCACGAACAAAACCTGAAATATTTGTCCTGAGAACAAGATCTATCCCCCCGAAAAAACTTCTTGCAAACAACATGAAATCAAGCAACATTCGTGAAATCAAATTTGAAATCAATATTATTAATCACTGACCGACGAAGGAAAATTTCCTCCGTAACATCACCCACAACGGTAAGCTGCGATAACAATTCCAAATAACCACGATGATAGTCGACCGACATCAGTGGTCGCAAACGATAACCTTCCGGTATTTCTGGTAATCCTTGTAAATGAATGAAATGCAAAAAGCTTTCAGCAAATATTGTCTTGTATTCTGCAAAAAGAAATTACAGAAGTCCGATGCAATCAGACTGAATTTTGTTTTGCCCTAATTACTGTCTTGATTTCTCACGAGCGGATTATTTCTCTTCAAATCCACAAATACTGAATTCTTCGACCAACCAACGAATGTCATCGATAAAAGCTTTAAACGGAAGCAGGATATCATCAAACACCACAACACATTTATAAAAACAGCAATAGGTAGAATTTATAGAGGCATTTGTGGAAAATTAACATCCATTATATCTAATAGCAGAAGTAAACAAAACAAAAGATATAACCTTTTGTGCTTAATAATCTCTTGTTGTCTTCATCTTCTTTCATATTATCCAATATTGTATTTTTCAAATCCATTATGCTAAAATATGGGTGTAAATCGTCAATTAATCTGAAATAAACCAAAATAAAAAAATAAATGAACATTATTCATATGGTCAAAGGATAATCGATACTCATATGATAACAATCTATAATGACCTTTCCGCAGCGTAAACCTTAACCAATCTGGGAATGACATTACTAACTAAATACAGCCATATCTCCAGGTGTACCTTATCAACCTTTGTCATCTCTTCAACAACCATAAATCTTTTTTTTTACTCTCAATGCATTCAGGATAACTGTGACACAAGACTATTTTCCTATTCACTCTCTTCCTCTCTTCAACGTCCCCTCAATCTCACCGCACACCCTCAACAATCACCTCCATCTCACTACTCATTATCTTGTTTTGCGAAAAGGAGTATGTTGCATGCAACTCTTCGTTTTTGCATGCTTTGTTGCATGCATCCGTACTGTATTTGCCACATGCTGCAAGATAGAATTGGAAAAGGGGGGGAGGGGGGAGGAGGGAGAGTTCCATGGCTAATTGGGGATTTAAAATATAGAGTTTGGTTCTTGTCGTTCTGTTCGACTTTGTTTGATGGGTCAGCTTCAGGGACAAGGTAAACCAGGTGATTTTATTGAAATTCGAACGGTGAAAAGTGATATCATTCCTTGCAAATAGCGCTAATGATTTCCAATTATTTGCTCACCGAACAGCCCATTTGCATGTTTTATTATATATAATATTATTCTTTCTTTTATTATTGTGTTAAAGGAGATGTGGCCATCAACAAGTACGGAAAAGTTACCGGAATATGTCGTTGTGGTATATCCGGGAATGGTAAAAAATGCCGAGAAAGCGATTGAAACTTTGGGCGGTGCTCAAACTCTCAACATGGTAAGTGAAAATTGTAAGCAAATAATCTCTTACCTACCATATTACTATTAAGCATATGTCACCATGTATTCGAATCTTCGAATTTGAAAATGTGCATTTAATATTTTTCTGACCAGTTTATCATTTTTTCATGTTTATGTAAATGAAAGTATGCTGGAATTTACATAGTACTACACTATAGTAATTCCATCATTCATTCTCGTCATATCCCTTTTAGTATTTTTTGCTATCGAAGTTTTGCAGTTCCTATTCGAATGCTCAGCATCATGCACTTATTAGTTTTAATATGCTTTATTCAGTCCCTGATAATCACAGTATTCATCAGTCTCTTTGTAGAACCATTTTGCTGGTCGTCCACTTGAACTGCGACATCACCCGAAAAATCTCTACGCAAATGCTTTGGTATCGGAGAGAACATCTGCCGAGAAGTCATTCGGTGGTACTGGGACAGTATTATGTGTTGTAACTGTACGCCGCAAAAAGTCTGATCCAAACTGTGTGCAAGCAAAAGTGACTGGAATGGTATGTCAAAATTCTATTACGTTGAATAGTTTAATTTTTTCCGTTGAAAGCTAAAGATGGGAACAGAGCATTAGAGTTTCTTAGGATGAGGATTTCAGGCAATTTAGAAAAGTTTTAAAGAAAAACATTGCAGATCTCGACAGTATACACGTTCAAATCCATGTGTGATTTCCATTATTTACCCATTCGTCAAAATGAAGCACATCCGGGATGTTTTGAAGATTTAGTAAGTTTATATTCATAGATCTTTGACAAGAAACTGTCATCTTTTTTTACAATAAATTTTGAGTTGAAATTTACATTGGTGATAACTTTTAACAAGACGCAGTATTATATCGACTTTCCTGATATCGGATAGCGTTGTTTGGTAGTAAGTGAAATGGAACAGCGTAGCAAAAAATCGAGCATCATCTAATGCCTCTATTTTATTGAAAAGGACTTGATATTGTTAAATTTGTTTGAATTTAAATTTCGAGGCAAATTTTTCTTCAGGTACCGAAACTGATACCACTAGATCTTCCAGGCGCGCTGTCCTGGTGGAATCAACCTGAAAGTGAGAATCGCACACCCTTACATCTTCCTCCTTACCAGTTCTCAAGGTAAAAGTTTTCTCTGAAAGTGAGAGGGATTAAATTTTAATTACATGAAAATTTGGTATCAGTACTTTCACCACTGAAATATTTTCTATATATGTAGATTTGTATATGCATATATTTAAAAAGATTCACGGGATTCCCTATTATACTCATGCTTCTTTCCATTCATTACTGCACATATATTTCGCAAAATATTTCAACATATAGAGCAATATATGCAAATTATGTTTGCATTCCATAGTTATATTGCTCATTCTCTAATTATGGTCAACATTAGGGAAGGATATTTTAGGTTCTGACTTCGTTATTTGTAGATACTCAATGCCATCATCCAAGTTATTATGCAAAGAAACTGATTTTTCACCGGAGAAAATAAAACGAAAAAGCGCTGGACATGGGCAGAGTTCGTTCTATTGGATAAATTTTATAAATTCTACTTGGATAAATTTTTGCAGAGATTGAATAGCGGGTGCAGAGAAGGGAGGATTCGGTAAAGCCCGAATAGTCAGATTTAATCTTTTAATCTTAGAATGTATCTATAATTGATACCAGATGTGGTGGAAGTGATGGAATCATTTGACACCTTGCAAAGCTGTGAAGTGTTGTATTATAAGGAGGAAAGAAGGAACGGGTATTATAGGTACTGTAAAGAGGAGCTACCATAATAAAGTAATTCAGTGAATTAAACCTCTCGAATCGTTAATTTTCCAGGTTTACGATCAGAAAGGAAGGCATTATCTATAACGGTAAATTCAACCGCCGAATTTCCGAAGCAACCTACTGAGGAGGCAGTCAATGAAGCAAACATTAGGTTAGTATTTCAGTAATTAAATTAAATTCGATGATTCAGTGCTTTAAAACTTCTCAAGTAATTAGAAATCTTTGTTGCTTTTTTAAGAGTATCAGTTTGTTTCTTTATTTCTCAAAAGTTGTGCATTTTTGGCATTTATGTCATTAATATTACTAGTGAAACAGTGCAATAGGTTTTCGAGAATGACGTAGCTGCGGGAATCTAACTTGATAAAAACGAAAGACCGTGATAAAAACGATCGAATCACTGCACTGGATTTATGGTTCGGACCACTGACATAGATCATGAAAAAACTTTGTTTGGAAATACTTTGCAAAGATATATTGTAGGTGTAAAAACGATGAACCTCATCTTTTGCTGCAAAAATTGTTCGAAGAGCGACCAATGTGGACCAGAGTGGGTATTCTTAAGAAAACGGGGTTGGATGATGGTTTGATAAAGTGAGGATTGGAGTAATCGTTGCAAAGTAATATAACTACTGTAAAGTAATAAGACAAAAAAGTAACGAAAAGGTGTTACTATTCCATAAGAATAGTACTCAGAAATCGCTGCAGAAATACTGTTCTGCGCAGAGACAGCTGAAGAATGAGGCATACTAACCTGTTTACTTATCTGAATAACTTATTATAATTTGCGATTTGCTTTTTCAGAATACTACTACAAAAATTTGCATTTTACATTCTAAATGGACCATGGGGGCGTTTGTGGTGCCGCTTCGGATATGATCCAAGAACTGATCCTAATGTATGTCTTAATGTTGTTATTATGCCCATTAGCTTCGTATATACCTAACCGTTACAGGCAAAACAGTACCAGTCTGTTATGGTAACGTTTCGACAACACGCTAAAATACCTGAAAGGCAGCGTTTGAAGATTGTAACTGTAAGTATGAGCTTTATCCACTTTAACCATTATAATTTGCTTTTTCACGTCCACTTGTTCCTCCGTATGAAGCCATATTTTAGAGCGTATATTTTATACTACAGCCTTGGGTCCTTTCTGCCAGTCCATTAGTATATTCTACTTAGAGTAGTAAATTTTTAATCTGAGTCTTCATATAAGAATTGACTACATTAGCTGAATTCAGTTTACGTAAACTCCGAAACTTTAGAAGAATAGTGAACGACCAGGTCACGTTTCGGTCACAAGTGCTTCATCCCTAGCACCAGCGATTCCGTCGACATACGGTTCTCTCACAGATGAGCATATCGATTATATGTATACACCTGGTAATTTATAATAAATAAATCCTTGCAGACATAAATGATTTCCATCCTCTTGTGATTTCGATAATCCGTATTCCGGAAAGGTGGGAATTATTCCCGGCTCAGCTAATAGACTTTATTCATTCATGTCGAATTGGTGAGGCCTTCTTTAACTTGTCTACTCAAGATCAGTACTGGACTATATGTTTTGACACACCGAAATATTACTATCTAGTTGATTAACAGATGTGTTAAATTTTCGATTTTTCTCATTTGTAGGAGAGCTTCCTCGTGTACGACAAATGTGGTATTGCATATGTGATGTGAAACTTCCAGTTGCTGAAGAAATTACACGAAAGGAATTTTTTGCACATAGCGAAAGGGCTGATCCTCAGAACGGTTGGCTGCCGCCGGTAAGTAATTCTCTTCCGTTCTCCCGTTTTGGTTGAAGAACTGTAGTCCCTAAAAATCTAGTTTGGTTTTGTAATACTTTTTTGAGTTTTGAACAATAATAGCATTGTTATTCTAACTGACTTTTCATTCCAGCATATGTTTTCCAGAAAGCCATTGACCGGATTCGTGACGCTATCAAACAAGATGTCAAGAAACTGAGCAATCAAATCGAGGAAGAGGAGGGGATACCAGACGAAACCGAAGAAGATTGGTGAAAGGAACTAAGCACTGACCAACAAAACCATCTGTAATATAGGTGCTAGATACTGGCCTACTGAGGAATGCGGGACATGCATATCGTAAGATAATTTCGAATATTTTCAGATTGTACCAAATTGGAGCTGAGTGTTGTTATTGTAAAAAAGGAAATATTTATGAAAATTTCTTTGGTAACATTGCAAAAGTCGCAGTTTAGTAACATTGCAAAAGTCGCAGGGACCAGTTTAAAATTATACCATTTACTTCATATCTTTTGAAGAGCAGGAGAATATAATAGAGGTGCGGAAGAGCATAAATCGAAGGATCGAAAATGCTAAAATGTAGAAAAAAAAGCTTAAAAAGAAAGAATTTGGACTCAGTTTCCAAAAAATTAAAACTAGGTACTACAATAATCGTCCCAATTCATATATGGAAATTGAACATAGATGCGGTGATATATCACCGACTCTATCTATTACATCAACATATCAAACGAGTTTCTTATATGTTATCATAATTTTTCCGTCCATTAATAATCAGAATGGTTTCGCAGAGCAATTGGTTCGTTTGCACCATAATAAGGTGGAGAAAATAACTATGAAGATCTTGTCTAACGACTCAGAACTGGTCAACAACCTGAACTAAGTAAAAAGTCAGGAGATGAAATCCAAAATGGCATTTGTTCAACGTTGAATCATCGAGGAGTCTTTTAATGGATCTAATGATTTTGAGAAAATTAGTTACAGGTGTTTGGTCCTTATAGTCAAGGTGTTCATATATGAAGTGGTAAGAAGTCAGTTCATTTTGCACCTCAGAAAAATATCTTTCGCTCTCATAATGCGTCGGACTTCCCATGCAGTTTACTCCGAATTCTCTTGCTGCTGATCATCACGTGTAAAAACGTAACGCGGCGATGATTGATCGTTCACGTAATTTGATAATAACAATATCAATTAGTAATTAATAGTGATAGTGATAATGATGATGATAATAACAGTAAATAAGCAAACAAGTTAATGAACAGATAAATTGGTTAATTAAATAAATGAAGTAACGACAGTAATACAAGCATTGGTAATCTCTGTAAAAATGTGTGTTAAGATACTAGTATTTTAGGCATTCCTTCAAAATAATAGCTAATAACAATTAAATATAAAACAGGAATAAAAGAGGGAGAGGTCGCAACATATTTCTCAAGTTATAATATAAACACTCTGAAAAAGGACTCGTTGTCATGATTTCTTTCTAATCACAACCTAACGACAACTTTCAAAGTGCAGATAGTGAAGATCCAAAATATCAAGAACTTGCAGGTACAGACACATGCAAGCACTTGATTGACATATATACAGTTATAGTCGGTTTCAGCTAAAAAGTTCCATGGGATTATTTCCCTCCTCATTGTAACTTTTTGTCTGAAAATTCTGAGTAGAAATAAGTTTCACTAGAAAGTTTTACTCTCTACAATGTAAAAATTAGGGCCAAAAAGAATGGAATTCTTTTAAACAAACAAAAACAGTTGGCCTAGACCTGCCAAACCGGATTGTTTATCAATCGACCTCTGACTTCAAAATATGTAATGAATTCAGCTATAGTTAATTCAGTAAAGTCTCTAGTGATATCACTAATGTTAATCAATTCTCAATAAAGAATAAACTTTATATAGAAGGGGAAATATTATAATATTTCTCCATACTTCAATGACTAACTTTATCCTTCTTGATTTATGCAATTTGAATTAAAACAGTAAAGTTACCAATTAAACACCATCGTACAAACTGTTTCGTGTTATCTACCAGAATTTCAACATCATCTACCGACCGCATAACCTTCTTTAAACTAACGGATATGTAGCAGAAAAAAGAGAACAAGCGAATACGATGTTCCAGAAAATTCCCGAGGGGATCCACCATGTTCATTTTCTCATAAGGCTAGAGGAAATTAGCAAACTACCACCAGGAAAGGTGTCTAGTATCTATTGGCACTGAATCTGTTACTGTACTGGATGACAACAAACTCCTCTTTGATGATGTTATCATGACTTGCTAACAACATCCACAACACTGATACTGTATTATCTCGTACAGTACAAGGTAACATTGATGCTATGGTGTCAGCTCAGGGACTGAAGCCATAATCCCATCTGTTGACCTTAATCCCGAACTTGACCAGTATTTACCTCACGGCTTCACAATGAGAAGTCATTGATTATCGGAGCGAAAAGAGTACAGCAAAGTCAGAGACGCCAGAGAGTGTAGCAACATATCCGTACATAATGTCAGCAGGATGTTACATGAGTTGCACTATGGTGAGGTAAGTGTATGGGGAGTTCTGTCTCCTGGTGATACCGAGACATCTCGGATATACTTCCTTTTCGGCAGATTTGCGCATCGTAGGGCAAACTTTGTACTTTTCATTATTTAGCGATCAAACAGCACAAGTTCAGTTCCATCCTCGAAAGATTTTGTCAATTTTCAGTGGTTCTCACGCATTTTCATGTGAACCCTTTTGGGAGCATACGTTCCATAACCTCAACAATCTCCTTCTTGGAAGGAATTCGAATCAGTCATCTTGTTGTCCGTTTCAAATCTCACTCCATTATCCCGAATATATGGGTAAAATATCCAAGTCTCAATGTATCAAGAGATTTCAAATACTGTTCATGCATTTGTGTAAATATCATAATGCGCTTACTTTTGTTTTTTGATCTTTACGCGCTTTGGCTCCATGAATCGTACGTTTGCATGTATTTACCTTCGTATTTCCTCAATTTATATTCTTTTGTATTTAATGATTTACATCTTCAATGTAGTAGTCTTTCAACTGTTAAATACGTCATTAGTGATAAATGATAAAAGGTGAGTTTAAAATTGGACTAGTTTGGTTTTGGGATAAATGTACGTCTTGTAGATGTTCTCTTCAAAAGATTTCTGTTCATTGCTTATATTACTCCAAATATTTGTGTTACATAGTTAATCGATAAACAGGGATTGGTTACGGTCAAAAGTTACTCTTGTAGTCATTCAGTTTGTAAATTTATTCCAGGCGTAGCATTCATTTTCAAACATTTGAAAATGGTTGAGCAGACAACGGCTCCAGTTGAAGATGAGAAATCGCGTGCGCTAGCAGCATATCGTCGTAAACTGATCGAATATCGTGAAGTAGAAGAACGTTTGAAACAGCTAAGAAAGAAAGTAGGTTAAAGCAGGATATATTTTAGAAATAAATGTGAAAATAAGATTTCAGTTAGTATGAGGATTGTGATCTTCCAACGAAACTGTTTAATTGCTTTGAATCTTAACTGAACAAGAATTTGAGTCCTTCATCTTTCTTTAAATTAATTCTTTTTCCCTATGTTTCAGGAAGTAGAAGTTCAGAAAGAACACGACAAATCGGAAAACGACATCAAATCGTTGCAGTCGGTCGGACAAATAGTTGGAGAAGTATTGAAACAGCTAACGGAAGAGAAATTTATCGTGAAAGCTACGAATGGTCCCCGATATGTAGTTGGTTGTCGCCGATCAGTTAACAAGGGAGCTCTGAAACAGGTATCTTTTTTACTTGGTATTGTGATAACCAGTAAGTAATGGGCTATTGAGTAAAAGCGTGCTACCACTGCTGACGAATTATTGATTCTCGTATTTCTCGTTTCCAGAACTAGAATTCCAATTTTAATAGCAGAAATTCTAATCGCTTTGTTTTATGCGATTATTCGTATTGAATTGGAATTATTTGTCAAGCATTTTCCTTCTTTACTAATCTTAATCTTTTAGTTTTTGATGGTTTTATGTTACTTGTCTTAACTGTTTGACTTACTTTTGTGCAGTTAGTCTAAATTCCAAATATAAAGTTACAGGTTAGCTTACATAGCAGGATTACTACTTATCCCTTCATCCTTATCACTTGCAGAATTTCCATAAGGAAAATGTTTAAGGGTACTCGAGTTGCTCTGGATATGACAACACTTACAATAATGCGACAGTTACCTCGAGAAGTAGATCCATTAGTCTATAAAATGAGCCACGAAGATCCCGGCAATATATCGTATTCTGAAGTTGGCGGTTTGAGCGAGCAAATACGTGAACTGCGTGAAGTGGGTAAACTTCCAATAGTCGTCACTTCTCGGGAATTATTCCTAAACTGTCTTACTGAGTTAGAAATACCGACAGGTTATTCTTTGAAAGTGCCAGTCGATATGAGCAGATCTGAAGTTAGCTTTATAGTCAAAAATTTAATTGGCTTATTCATTTTATCCATCACAGTTTTGTTTTATACTATCAATTCCAGGTCGTTGAGCTTCCCTTAGTCAACCCTGATTTGTTCCGACGTGTCGGTATCACTCCACCTAAAGGATGCCTTTTATACGGTCCTCCAGGGACTGGAAAAACTCTGTTGGCAAGGTAACTCTTTTGCTCTTTGATTTTTTGTATCTTGTGGTTATGAGTATCATCCTAAAAGAAAATATTCAGATTTTTGCTGATCATCAGTGTTTTCATTGTTACAGAGCAGTGGCTTCGCAGTTGGACTGTAATTTTCTGAAGGTTGTATCTTCTGCTATAGTTGATAAATACATCGGTGAGTCGGCGAGAATGATTCGTGAGATGTTCAACTATGCCCGCGATCATCAGCCATGCATCGTATTCATGGATGAAATCGATGCTATTGGTAAATTCTATAAAAATTTGGCGTTCGCCTACAGAGAGGGATAACTGATACTTTTATCGCATGGGTCATTTGTTCATTTTCCATTTCATTTTACTGGCGGTTAAATCCATAATCAATTTTTTCGATTTTTTGCAATGGATTAGACCCTATTGCGCATGAATTCTGTTTGGTCCTTATTCTATAGGTGGTCGTCGATTTTCGGAGGGGACATCAGCTGACCGTGAAATACAACGCACTCTGATGGAACTGCTGAATCAGATGGATGGGTTTGATTCACTAGGAAGAGTGAAGATCATCATGGCAACAAATCGACCTGATACATTGGATCCAGCTTTACTCAGACCTGGTCGTTTAGATAGGAAAATTGAAATTGGTTTGCCGAATGAGCAAAGTAGACTTGAGGTGAGCTTCATTTTTCTCCTTTCTAAAAAGCATGCATATCATATAGGTACACTTTTTCTTTTATTAGATTTTAAGGGTTTCTTTAGATAAGGGGAGCCAAGAAAAAGGAATGAACAGAGAGAGGACACAGCGAAAGTATAGTTGCGTATCTTTTTTAATGAAATCGTGGTAACAGTACAATCCGTTATAACCCTCACTTATGTTGTTCATTTTCACATCTCTATTCCTTTGAGAGCACCATGCCTTTTAGTCAATCCCACGGTTAACTTACATCTTGGATGCACTTGAATCCCAAGTATGTGAGGAAAAAAAGCATAGTAGTATTCTCTTTTCATCTTACTACACTGGTTAAGATCTTCGCAGTGTCCTACTTTTTTAGGTGCTGAAAATTCATGCCAGCAAAATAACAAAGCACGGAGATATCGATTATGAAGCTGTCGTTAAGTTATCTGACGGTTTTTCTGGTGCAGATCTCAGAAATGTTTGCACTGAAGCAGGTATACATTTGCTTTTCCAAACTTGGCACATCTAAAAATCAAAATCTGTATGAAGAATTTGAATTACCAAATTCTGGTTCAGGTTATAGAAAAATAGTTGAACTATCTTAATTCTCGACTGGTCAACTGATACTGCGCATCGTAATCATCAGATATCATTTCTTTAAAGAAGCTGTCAGTGCTAACCATACGTTCAGTTTATTCCTGTACTGATTGAACTGTTTTTTGGTAGGATTGGAGTATCCCTGCGACATTATCATGCTTTCACTCCACAATTTTGTTTTTTTCTTTTTTCTTTTTCATTTTTCTTCATTTTTTGTCTTATCAGCTCCTAGCAACTTGTCATTAGTATATGATCAAAATTTCCTGAACATATAACTTTTATTAGTGGTAGCTACTATACACTCCGCAGTTGTTGTAAGGTCATTCTTCTGAAGAAATACCAAGCATTTGAACACTTTTCTTTAATGCTTATTGATCGTGGGTAAAATTTCTCTTTTTCAAAAAGTGAGGAAATGAACGAGCTAAGGTTATATTAATATTGCATATTCCTCATAACGAAAGAAATTATGCTTATTTTTCTTTTTTTTTTTACGAAATGGGGGAAAGTGAATAAATTAAGGTCATATTAACAAGCAAAAATTATAATGGTATGGTTGTCCTGGAAATAAAGTCATAATACTGCAGGTTTATTTGCAATTCGTGCTGAGCGTGAATACGTCATTGATGAAGATTTTATGAAAGCAGTTCGTAAAGTGGGTGACGCGAAAAGGTTGGAAACGAAACTTGATTACAAACCTGTATAATGTAACTGACTGTTGTTCATTTATGTTGTGATATCAGCTGTTGTATAACATGGATCAAAAATTGAATATTGCGAGGGGTCTATTTAAATTAAAGCTGGTGAAGCATGAACAGTTATTAATAAATGATTATAGGTTATCTGATTTTCGAATTCTCTTAGAAATAAAGTCTCTTTTCATTTCGAGTTCTGAAAAAAGCTTTTTGAAGAATGTTGAAGTAGTTCATTTATACTGAAACTTGAAGATAAAGTTAATTTCTAGCCAGTTATGGACGTTACCTTGGAACTTTTGTTCAGGTAAATCAAAGGATTTGCGTTTAAGGAGAAAGAATATATTATGAATATATGACGATGTTAGTAATCACTCGTAAACACTTTCTCTTCCTCGAGGTCTCTTCACTTTTTTTTTCTCCTCTTACCAAAAAAAAAAAATGCTTTGTTTGCGAACAATTTAATCTATGAGATTATGACTGTGAGGAGAGTAATATTTTGAACATGTTTTCATCTGCGTTATCAATTTCTGAAAATAAGATACGATTTTTCAATGTTTTTTTGAGTTTTGAATATAGCGATTGCATTTATCGTAAAAGTCATGCTTTGGTGGCCTTGGTAGCAAGCTCACATGATGTGTTTCATAGATCGGTTTAAGTTGTGAAAAACAAGAAAAGTTTTAATAAATGTAGAGTTGTGACCGGTATAAGTATTAGATTAACTCTTGTTGATATTTGGAATAGGCTTCCAAAAAAAGCCTATTAAAAAAAGCCTATTATTTCCTTCGCCCGGAACTTCGGTTCTAATTTTTTGTTGGAGCAATTAAATAGTTTTTGTGGTCAGTGGTCTGATAAGCCTACAGGCTTTAGGTGGCACCGAAAGATTCTTACTTAGAAGTCTGTTAAACTAAATTTAGATTAACTGTTAAGCTAAAAGATATTTGGAAGCCTATTATGATAAGACGCTATGGTAATTTCTTATGCATGACTCAATTTGTTTTGGGATGCCTAAGAGTTGGGGCTACTTGACAGTTCTGTCATTTAGAATGAGTTCCATCGAATGATCGAACGTGCTGTGCTGTTACTCCTACTCAGTAAATAACACGTGAATCATGATCGTTCGACACTTTTTTCCAGTTATTTCCTATGTTATTTAGTTCGGTCATGTCATCGAGTAAAAAACCCCGAAAGTCAGTTCCAGAACTGCAACCAAGATATGTGGACAGTGATGGAAACAGTGTAGATTTGTCTAAAGCGATGTGGATGACTAAAATAACTTTGCCATACATTGACATCCAAGAAATTTATCGGAAGATTCAAGACGAGGTTGTGCTTCATATCTTGTATTCGCCACATCATTTATCTTTTAATTGTAGTTTTATTTTAAAAGAAAAATTTAGAAATATTTCAGGTTGTTCTAAAGATTTTGCCAAATGGTACCAAAAGCTTATTACGAGTCAACTGCACGAATAATACCTTGCAGTGAGGAAAAGATTTCTTGTGACATTTCATACTGTCAGATTTTGTACAGATAAATTTAATTTCTATTTTATCACATATGGAAAGAGGTAGTGCTCAATTCTCTGCTGCAATGTGAGCATCTGTTTTCAAAAAATACAAAAAAGTGAGACGAAAGAGCAGTGAATCAAGTATGGGTATGGCTTTATCTAAATTGAGCAAACTTGTTATATTGTTTGCGCTAATTAATCTTGAACTGAATGGACCGTTAGAAACTACTTATACAATTGCCATAAGAATAACCTTAATTTATTGGAATTTTCACTAAATTTTTCTGTAAATGATATAAGGTGTGTCACATAGGTGAACCGAAGCAATTGGCATGGCTGGCAATCAGTCATCCCCCCTCCACACTTTTTCTCACGATATGAATGATTTGATCGAAGTTATTGTTATTGCATTATTAACTTCTTTGCGAAGTGACAGATATGATGCATGCTACATGTCAATAATGATGGATAAAACTAAAAAACAAATTTTGCAATAAATATAATGATACAAAATGCAAAGTTTGTTCTCGATTGTAATCAGAACGAGATCAAAAAGTTTGCTTGCAGCGTTATCTTGCATTCGTCGAGTGAATAAAATTGTTTGCACGGAAAGAGTAGTCTAGAAGTTACCGACGGATGGCTAAATTACAGGTTAAAATCTGTCAGAAAACAAATTACAGAATGCAGCACTTTTGCCGGTCACAATTTTCAAAGTGAAGTTTGGTAACGCCATGAAAGTCATTAAAACCAAATTCTTCGTGAAGTACAGTAGAACTTCAAGCCCTTCATGACTGCCAATTTGTTTTTCTATTCCTCAACATGAAACAAAGTTAAGCAGGTCTATGTAGCACACATGAGATATTTGAAGTGGTCATATAAAATGATGCCTAATATAAATATAAAACTCTTCCGTCTCATACTCCATAAAGTAAAAGACTCCACTGAAACGGATACTTCCCAGTTCATTGATATAGATAGGTATTCCAAGCATTAATATTATCCTACTTATTCAAGCGGTTTAATATCACAGAAGATGGCTTTCATCATTGCTACATTTTTGTTGGGTTTTGACAAATAATTACACTTTATTAGGCATAAACAATAATGAGGTGATTTATGTATGACGATCAACATTAAGCGAAAATTGTATGAAGAAGGTAAAAGGCCACTGTTTAACACTACAAAATGCATAAATCACAACATATCAGCCGATCTAAAGAATGCTTTAAATAACGCAGCCTTTTCTAAAAATTATTCAGACGGGATTCTCGATGACAATGCGCCTCGTAATAATAACTTGATTCTGTGACTGTTAAAAATAATTACTTCTACTAAATTAAAGGAATAAAAAGGATCTGGTACGAAAGTTTCGAAACAAAGAGTACAAATTCCTTTAAATTAGAAGGGTCTTCGTAGATGACACAGAGTATTTGCACGGAATTTCATTTTGGAGATTTCTTAGATAGATATGAGAAATTGATAAAAAATGTAACAATGAAATTCCATTAACGGAAAGAGTTACCATGAAGCATCACAGGCAAGTTCGCCATAGTATGCAGTTATTGCCTTGACTTTTCGGTTTACTTCAGCCTGTTCAATCTCAACCATCCCTCCAGTATCCTTCGAAAGTTGGACTAACTGGAAAACAAGGATTTATTAAGATAGCTTATTACTTTTCAGATTTCTAATTACTCTTTGAGTATTAATTTGTAGCTTAGAGAAGTATATAACAGGCGGTTCTACCATTCTCTTAATAAAGATAATTGAGATGCGTCTGAGGATCAATACCTTTGTCAAACAGTGTCTTTCATATTTCAGCCTAACTTCAAAAACTAAAGATATAAAATATAGAACAAGCCTCCTTCAAATCTGTTTGCCTTGGCAAATAATAAGCAATATTATGAGTTAGCTTTCGCGTAATTCGGAAAATTTTGTCGCCTTTTGGTTCCATATTCTTCAAACTGAACAACTGCAAAACGAATGATATTTAATTTTATGTAACTTGAGAGATAATTCCACAAAGGTCATTAATTGAATGTTAATAGTCATACATCAGTTATAAAAGGATGCATGCCAACCAAATAATTTTGAAATTAATTTGAATATCTTCGGGTGTTTCTTCACAAAATCTCTAACATCCAGAAAACCACTGTCATTTTTCCATTCAGTACAGATTTCTGATTATTTTTTGATGCTTTTCCTATGTCCATGAAATTTTAAGCTAATTTTTACTTCTTTACGAGGTACTTTTTCGTGCCTTTATTTTTGAGAAATTTGAGAATCAAGCTGAAAAAATTCGAAATTCAACCTTTGACTTAAGGTAAGAAGGTCCACCCCATGGTGGACTAAGCAGAACGGCATCGAAAACGGGCATATAACCGCAGTTATCGACAGCAATCCCGAAGTCGTCCTCATCATCCGTGTCCGTCTCAACAAGCACTGTTTTTTCAATTTTCCTATCTTCAGTCTTTTGCACCATTTCAAATCCATCATCGTCTGCAGCAGCTTTCTGAGCTTGCTCGAAATCACCTGCAACTTCCGTCCTTGTCCTTCCCCTTTCCCAAAGTTTCGAAGTATCGTATCCAAGAGATCGGAATGTGTCATTTTGTTTCGCTCTTACTTCCATTTTCAGTTGTTTCACTTTATCACAGTGAAATTTACAAAAATTGAAAAAATCTATGCAAATAAAGTTAATGCGATCTGCGACACCGTAAATTTCAGCATTTCGTTTTGCACAGCGCAATCGAACAGGGTCCATATCTAGTGCAATCACTGTAAATTGTAGCATATTAGCTTCTTAATTAACATCATGTCACTAATATGATATTCTAATAGTCTTATATTTTTCTAAACCCTATATCTTATAATTTTTATTTATATAGGATCTTCAAATACAACTGTCAACATGATATGAAGTTTTGGGAAATGTGTGGAAATTTCCATAATAAGGAAATTTCCATAATATCTTCCAAATCCCTAAATTTCTATCATTCTAACCAGTATCTCCATGTATAATCTGTAATTATAAAATTTACAGGCCTGAGCGAGAGTTTAAATGCCATAACTATGTGTAAAAAAACAAAGAAAAACGATTCGCTTTGGTGCTACATGATCACTTCGAATTCAACTCCATTTTTGTAGGAAATCGATAAATGGACTAAATTCATTCCAGAAGTAATGTTTATAATTTTGAAAAAAGCACACCATAAGCTCCTTTAAGGGCAAATTGTATACAGTTGCCACCAACTCCCGCGAAACCATCTAACACTATAGTATCTTTCATAATAACAACTCGATCAGCTATATGAGCAGCGACTCTTTCCGGTGTCACCGAGTACCATCCTTCTGCAGTTTTTCTCAGCAATTTCAAATAATAAAATACACTATAAATCTCTCCTACTAGCATTTATTTGTTCAATTCGATTTGAAAGCCAAGTTTGTTCATAAACTACACTGCAAGATAGCTGTTATCAAACTGCTATATTAAAAACCGATTATTTTTATTCGGAATGCTAGTAACTTGAACGTCTACAGCTGGTTAGCCAACAGAAACGGAAATGCTGCATTTTAAGCTTTCGGAAATATGTTTCATGATTAATATATATATATATAACGAGCCTCACCGAATTTTAAAACACATTTCCAAAAATTTTACTTTCCTAATAACTCTCTAACTGAAAGAACAACTCACCACGATCCATCAAAATACCTTTGTTCAGTTTCGAGAAAAGGCGAAAGCGCTGGTTGTAGTACTTGGGCATGTCCTGTAAGCACAAACATTTTCAATCACTAAGCTGAATACATTTTAGAACTTCCATCTCTTATATTTTGAAATTGCAAGTTTTACCAAAAAGTTATAGAAGCATTCTTGAATAACTTATACTTTATCATCAGCGAACGTTTTCAGTGCATTTATTGCCAATAAGCACTTGTCGCGCTTATCATTGTAGCCAAAATCAAAGTGTTTGAGCATAGAGTTCGACGATTCAAAAGCATTTTCTGCATCTATGACGGTAAAATCCTTAAGAAACAAACATATATAAAATCACGTTAGAGTGTCCAATAGCTTTCAGAAGGATGACAGCAGCAAATGTTTTGTCCAAATGTGCATAATTTATATTTTAGGCTTGCGAATATACTAAATTAGATGCTTACATGTAAAGTTTTTGGTAACATATATCAAAATTACAAAGATATTTTCTTGCTCGGTTAAAGTTATACTAACGATATCCTCCTTCCGTTCATCGATCTAGAATGAAAAACATACGTTAATATCATCTCCAGCCTCATTTGTATATGGACTTTTTCGATTTTTTTGGATAAATCGGTGTGGTATTTGGAAATCATAATGGATATCGGCGATATGAAAACCACGTTGTCTGCGAAAGTAATTATAAGTAAAAAGCAAGAATTATTAGAGAAATGAAATAATCAATTAGCTCTTAATTCCATTTCGGTTGGTTCATTTAGATGTTATTTCTACTAAACAAATATGAACAGAAGAATTCTATTAATGAGAAGATAATGAAAAACTTTAGTATAATCGAGAATATACACTCCATATCATAAATATTAAGTGAGATTTTGTACTTTCAATATTTTCATTTTTCATTTCCCAAACGACCGTCAGCATTACTGACGGATTAAACTTGAAGAGGCAAAAATAATGGAGCACACTAACCTTTGTAATCCTGGAATACCTGTCTCCAAATAATCTCCATCGTCCTCATCACTAGACGAAACTCCTTCTTTATAAGTTAAACCAACTGAGGCCAACTAAAGTTTAAAAAAAACTTTAAAATTACGAATTGAAGCCCACATAGGTCTATTATGTAAATAACAAGAAGCTGTAAAAAGTGTCAACATCACAAACCTTGTCCACAAATTCTAAGCATCGCCGTTTATGTGATCCATTTGTGTACTTCGCATAATCTTTTGCAATACGATTTTCTACAGCCTCTTTGTGTTTTAAATAAAGTGAGTTCCAGTCACTATCTGTTTTGAATAATTCATCCGTAGTCTGGTGTCTGTCTTTACTATCAAATGGATATCGTTTTTCATTATCTTTAGCTGAGCCTTCCATCTCATGATCTACAGGACTCTCTTCCATTTGGTTCCTAATTGAACTCTTCCTCATATGAAACCAGCACCCTGGGCAATCCTCCTCTTTATGATCCAATTTTGAATAAGAAATTCCAAAAAACGCCTAAAATAAACCGCAAATAACATGAGTAACAAATTTTATATCCAATAATATCAATGGATGACCACCTGCCAACAAATGAAATATTATAATTATGCTAAACGAAAATTTCTGTATCTTCACTTGTTTTTATTAACCGATCGATTCCTTTTATTGTCTGTGTAAATTTAATTAATATATTGAAACAATGGAAGACAGAAATTTAAGTCCTCTGGAAGGGAACGCCACTCAAACTACTCATCACTTTTAACTGCTGGTCGTTGCTGGAATAAAAAAGATTGGTAGGTGAAACCGAAGTCTTTTTTTGATAATACAGCCCAACCGAGCATTCAGTTGCATCACAATGAACAGAACAGATGGATATGAAAACTTCACAGCACTACTTAATAATTTTCATAGTTGTAGAAGGCTTCACTTGCACTGAATAAATGAACTAACAACATCCAGTAATTAACAGGAAATGTATGTTAAACAAAGGCCGTTCTTATATTGTGAACTGGGATATAAATATGGATATGTATGCATTGTAGTTATATAAAAATAGAAGAAACTAACGTTGGCTTGCTCGTGTTCTTTCAACAAAGCGTATGGTGCACAATTTCGATCTGTATATTCGTCAAATTTTTCAGCTACTTGGGTCGTGGAAAAAGATTCTGCTAAAATAAATCAATTTTGTCAGAAATGAACCCCAATAGATTCATAAAAATCAGGCATTTACTTGACCATGATAAGGATATCTGTTTACTGCTTCATGCGTTATCATATCGCGAAATTTGAAACTTAGAAATTTGAATCGTGTTGTCTACCTTTATACACAAATTTTTCCTATTTAAAAAAAAAAAATGAATGAAATAAAAATTAAATATGAAAATGTCCAATTGATTCCTTCCTGAGTCTCAAAAAACAAAAAAAAAACGACCAAAATACAACAAGAAATATGGTAATCATTCTGGAGAGTAATCAATTTTGCTAGATACTAGAAGTACTAGGGAAGAAAACCGATACCTTTTCTTCACAACAACACAGAACAACTGGAATGATTCTTCATTTTTTATTGATTTTCATTTGTTTTAGTGAATGATGTACAAATCAACGAGAATACATTTATATACATGAAATGCTAAAGCCGTGGAAAAGGGTAAGGCTTGTATTAAGAAAAAAAGAAAAAACCAACAACTATTAAAAGAACAGTGGGAGTTGACCCATGTTATGACGACAGTTATGGAATAATAGCAAATCTACGGCTATAAGAATACGAACAGCGAGTATTAAATAAAGGTTGCAAATCTATGGTAACAAATAAGGATACCGCTTACGATAGTCATGGAACCACGATTTCCGCTCCAGATAGAGGCCATTACAGGAGAGATAGTCTGACAAGCACTCATGATGCGGTGATTTCACTCGAATACGATAACTTTTGTATTTCCGTTCACACCAACGGCAACTTCGTTCTTCACGACTTGAATTTCCGAAAGATGTTGGCAAATCTAATGCTGCCATTTCTGGAATACACAACAATAATGTAAAGGTATTTGTGTTTAACAAAATCTTAAGCAGTAAAACAGTGGGACTTGAACGTGTTGTCATTCTCGGATAAGAAAAACAATGGTTGGGCAGTCAAAAATATTCCCTAAAACTTCAAAGGGTCAGCCAAAAAGATATTATCACATATTATCACGAATTCCTATTCTATATTAGCAGCAGGATAATTAAGCACACCTCGAGCAATATCTTCGTCGGTATCATATCCATCTTTTTCTTCGGATTCGAAAACGTCCAAAACTGGACCGGTGCTTGAGCTCGATGCTACTGGTGGTTCATTAATAAGTGATTGTAAATCCGTATCACTGAAATCAAATGAAGAAAAAAGGTACAGATAAGTAGTAAGGACCAACTTGTTAAGGGTCTACGTAAAGTACACAGAGGAGAACAGAAGGAAATAGGATGCTAAACGGAACAGGAAGGTGCCGCTTTATTGATTCAGTTTCTTAGCCAAGCTGTCATCTAAAAGAATTACAACAGAAATATAAGTGAGAACTGATTAAACTTTCAGGTTAAAAAGGGTACTAATACAATTGATCCCGCGAAGCTCAAACAATGATGAATAGCAATGAAGGTAGAATAAATAGGAAAATCGATGTCAATAAGGTACTATAGCGTAAGTCGTTGACTTCCTACAAATCTGGTTTTAAAATTTCGCCGTCATTAACTTCTACGTTTCGAACCTACTCTGAATGTAATATCAAGGATAAAATGAAATGAAAATCTGCGCAATCAGGAATAATAAAACAGACGAAGGAATGGAAATCCGCAAGACGAAATTTTGTGACCTGAGAATCACTGATCACTTGAAAAATTGACAAATTAAATTTACCTCAAGATAGCACGAGAAAAACAAGAGAAAGTGGCCAGTTGGATGGACATATTCATTGGTGAATAGAAAGCAGCTTCACCAAACAGTTCCCACTTGAAACGGTACTCCGGAAAACCATCTTCGACGTCGTATCCTGGTATGATATAACGATGCCACGGTTCACGAGCTATTCGCTTACTTTTTTCACACAACCTCTCTGACATAACTTTTCGTCTTCTCGTTCTTATTTCGCTAAAAGTTTCAAATCTTCCTTATCATTTCATTGTTTTCCACCTAAATCGAACTCTGCTTCACGTATATCTGAAGACATCTTGAGATGTGAAGCATTCATACAACACAGATAATACTTGAAGACGCAACACTTCCATTACTGATCACTGTCAATTGACATTAATTTGATTTAATAACCCGCAGTGAAAATCAACATCTCATCCATTGATGAAAGATTTGCGTAACTTATCTTTGTGGAGCAGCAGCCTCTATTACGTATAAACCCTTAAATTCGTTTCGGATTTATAGAATAATATGCTCTTCTGCAAAACATTTTTTAAGTAATAACATTACTGACAGGTGGATACTTGCTATATTCCATAGTAATCTATCAAACTCATATATTCTAGTTTGGTGGAGATATTAACGTATGAAAATTCAGTTAGGCTTAAAATGATGATTTGAAATTTGTCTTTAAAAAAGAGATAAGTTAGAAGTAAAAAATTACTGTGAGACCATCCAATATAGAAACCAATAATGGATTTAATTTAGGAAAATTGGAATGTTTTATTTTTTATTTTGAGCTTTTTCTCTTTTTTATTTTACTGCTTGTATAAAGACATCAACACTAACAGTTATCGCGATGAGCTGCAGTATTTTAATTCCAGCAAAGTGAACAAGTCGGATGACGACCAAAATAAAGGCTACCGCTTATCGTTTAGCAGGTGGCTCGAAAACGGTATATAGTGCGGATTACGAGGAGAAAATTTCGACCTTCAACAGTTTTAAGAAACAAATTGAGAAATTAATTGGTCTCGTGGTTACGTTGGTCACCGTAAGTCATATCTGTTCGAGTATATCGATCTTATTCCATCAGCGATACATCGTTACTCGTTGCCTTTCATATAACAGCTAATCTCTTTTTGTTTGTTTGCAATCGTCGGAAATCCGAAAAAGTAAGTCTTCTTTAATCGAACATGATCTCCTATTTTGCCGATTAATGCGACTTTACCAGCCCATCAACCATGTCGCATGGTGTTACTTTCATAGGACAATCTGGCAACTGAACTGAAACAGAAGGTCTCAAGGGACACTGTCGATAGCGGCATGAATAAGTTCGAGAAAGTTGGGCAAGCACTCTATAAGTATAGTAGTCAGATCGAAGATGATTCGGCCGTTGCAGTTCTAAAAGCAGCTAAGGAAGTATTTGATGACGCGGGTCAAAAACATCGCTCATTTCGGACAAACATGTTAGAGAAAGTACAAAAACCTATGAAAGAATGGATTGAGGTAACTTTCAGGAAGTGATTCGGTTTTTAATCCCGTCGAATTCTCACTTCTGTGGTGAAGTAAACAGTGAACGCTGAGTAATTAAAAAACAGAAACTGTTTACAGACAAACGCCAAGCATGTGAGCAAAGAGTTGAAATCTGTAGACAGTAAGCGAGACGAACTGGACTGCGCCATTAACAAGTTACGGAAAAAACCGGATGATCTCGAGGTTCAGGTAGGTTTTTATCTCTTGGAAGACTTCGTAGAAACTTTAAGTACCAAACATTTATGATGCATGCGTACTAAATGCATACTAATTCGACATCTCTATTCTTTCTGTTACGGAGTTCTCACTGTAGGCTGTGAAGGAGCGCGCCGAAGGCACATTTAAAGATGAGCTTGAAAAAACTGATAAATTATTGGATGATGAAATCATGGAATCTGTAAGGCGAATATTTTTCTTAATTTCGTTAGTAAATGTAGGCGTTTCCCACAAAAATGTCCAGATTCTGTTTTTAGCGTACGAAAAAAGTCGCATTGAATGCAAAAAAATTTTTAAGTTTGGAAACTACTCGGACTCTTTTTTATTTGGCAGTGGACCTTAAGAAGTACTGCAGTTACTTCGATAGAGTGTCCATGCAATATTTCAGCAATCAGTGATTTCGTCTGCAATGATAGCACTGATGGAAGTAATAGAAGATTATAATAAAACCATGAAGGATATTTTTAAGGTGCTCTCCCTAACATCTCTTTTCAATAAAAGCGGAAATATAACACCACTTTAGGAGCAGCAAGCTCTTAAGGTCGTATGTCATTTTCTTTGATCAGGTCTTAAAAATAATTTTACCTATTAAATGGGTTGATAGATATGATTAAGAGAGTAATCAAATCCCTCTTAATGTTAGTTACAAACCTCGTAATTCACGAAGAATTCTATAGGATTCCAAAGAGCGGCAAGTTCTAAAGTCGTTTTTTTTTGAAAAATTTTTGAATTTTGAAAGTTAGCGAAAGTTCTATAGAATTTCTTTGTGAATTTTAAATTTCAGCAATCTCGAAAATTCCAAGCGACCATGAATTTCCTAAAAAACAAGATTTTACTCCTAAAATTCTGCTTTTTTTTTCTTTTATTTCCTCATTTCTAAAAGAAGTAGACCTGTTATTTACCTATACTATAATGTTAATTTTTTTCAGCAGAGCGCCAAAGTATGAGTTCGATAAAGAATAAGAGAAATTTAATGAAAAATAAATGGGAAGATATGTGATTCCCTTCACTGTCTTCAGTTCAGGACCTTGAATGAAACGATTCAAAACTGATATTATAAAAACATTAAAGAGTAAAGGATTTCCTATCTGAAGAATCTGGCCTTCTTCATAGTCTTTTTATTTTGTTCAACCCAATAATACATCAAAAAATGGCAAACTTTACATAAGAAAACAGAAAACTGGAAAGAGGGAAACATTTATCGTGGAAGCAGATATCTCGTTGTATGTGTACCGGAAACACTGACATAAATTGGGTAGAAGCAACTACGATTATTTTCGTTATACACACATTGTGTACCGCAAAAAAAGGTTAAAAATGGATTTAGACAATACGGATTGTAGAGATATGCATAGTAATAGAGAAATGAGAAGATCGGATTTGTTGATTCCAACTTATCGAGTTATCTCGGAGCAAACGAGATTCAAGAAAGTTTTTCACAATGGGATTTAAGAAATGCGGTAATGTCCTGATTTTATTGTTACACCAATTCTCTTCAACCATAAAAAACCAAATTTCACTAAGAAAATTCAAGCATTTTATTCGATGGATATATGGCTTAAATCGATTCATACTCCCATGAAATTCCATCGTTCAGGTTTTTTGTGGACAGAGGTGGTGCTTTTTATAATAGAGGCATTTAGTGGAGTGCTGCTAACTAGTTTAATATAAGCTTGTCTGGCCACAAACAACTCGTTATTCCTAATCTTATCCTCTTATTTCCTCTTGGCAACTGTCAAATCTTTGGTGTTTAGAAGTTTCTCGTCTTCCCCTTCTTTCCAATGCTCGCTGTCGCATGTTCTTCCTTTCCTTAGCCTCAGCTACTTCACACTTCTCTCCTTTCTCCTTTCATCTCAGCAAGCACCTTACGTCGTCTTCTTTCATTCATTCAGTAGTGGAAGATGAGGATGAGGATATGTTGTATCTCATATGTTTTCTGCTGATTTGTATAATAAAACTGAATGTTTGAAGTTGTTCCTTAAACATTTTAGCGGTGATTTCTTCCTCATTTTATAACTTCCCTGAAAGGTTAATTAGGACAATTTAGTGCTAACTAACCTTTCAACTTGATTGTTCTCGAAGTTCATTCATTTTCAATTTTGCTCACTTCTGCTAGGCTTTTCAAGTGATACTGCTGCACGTATATTAATTCTCCTTTATGATATTACTAAACGGGTATTCCTTTTGTGCTGATCTCTAACAAAACAGTTTGACTTAACTTTCTACTTGACTGTTTTCTCGATGAGAGATTGTCTAAGTCATCGCTGAAGCTTACTAGATATATCGTGTAGGAATGAGTTTTCTTTGGTTTCCATGTCTTTATAATAATATAATAACTACTATTTCGAACGTGTTGATTGATAAAGGGGAAAGTTAACAAAATACGATATTGTTTAGGTATATCTTCCGGTGAAACGAAGTGTTTGCTAAATTTTGTAATACAGTTTGATGGCTTGAAGTTATTAGTTGTGCAGTCAAAAATTTAAATTGATGAAGAATGATACAATTGAGAGGCACTGATGGGAATTTAAGATAATAAAAAAAAAAAAAAACAGTGGTATATAGTGGATTGCAGAAATGCTGAATGTAGTGTACCGTTCTGGATTGGAAATTTTCACTTAGTTTCTTTTTGTTTGTCCTCAGGAAATCTTACTGAATTTGAGAAAATGAAATAATATCGGATTGGAATTTCTTCCTTTCATTACAACTTCGATAGGCTTTATTATTGACGATTTTACATAGTTCTTAATTACAATAAATTCATCACACATTTTCCCCTTCCCTTCCCCACGAAGTAATATGATGTCCATGTTCGTAAATTTGAAATCAATTTTCTTACCTCGTTGATCATTATGCCAGAAGTGTAACTGCTTTCAACACGTTATATTCGATGAATTCGATGATCTGTGGCCGTAATTGTGAAAAAAATAATCATCTTATGTATACAATTAGTACATTGATATCATACATAGGTTATGTACGTAATGATATGTCTACATACATACAAGACGTACATATATTCACAGGTCTTGTCATTTTGCAACAGTCATCACAACAGTTTTCTAATTCTATCGCTTATCAGAGGAAGCACATTAGTCAAAAGTTAACGAAGAAAGCTCGAAAATACATGTCCGAACGTTTGTTATTATCAGCGATAAACGGAGGAATTTTTTATCCTTAAAAACATATATGTCTGAGGAGA